ACGGCTTAAAATTTATGGCGATCTGGCTGATCTTCTGGATGGTCGTACACAGCACATCAATGAAAAATAGAATTTCATCTTAGGGTTGCACGAACAAGATCTGTAATAGCCCGTTATGTTATTAATGTAAATTACGTGTTTAATTCCGTAATATCCACTTCTATGCTCGGAATAATTTTTAAGTAATTTTATATACTATAAGTTAATTTATGTTTCATCATATGCTAGGACCCATTTTGAGCTTAATCATGTTCCAATCATGCTTAAGGAAGATAAATTAGTCCAAATTGCCGTGAGATATTTGAGCAAGTGCACGTGTAATTCAACCATTGTTTGCTAGTTTATGTGGCATTCAATTAAGCTTAAGATGATGACTAAGCTATGTCTTCATTTGTCACCTAGCAATGACTAAGCAAGGAAAGCCACCAAGACTATTCCATGAATGGCAAGTGGTGTGAGATCATTGGCCATAGTTTTTCCCTCTTATTTTTCACTGATTTCACTTCCCTTTCGGCCATCTATTTAAGTGAAGAGTTTGGTAAATTTTACCTTATACTTAAAGCAAATACTAAGAAAGCCGTGAGAGAAACTAAGCCAAAGTTAAGAAAGATTAAGATACTTCTTCACTTACACGCATGCAAGCAAGGATCCAAGAGGTCATGCACAAGCTAGTTCGTTTATTTTCTTCGTTCGATTGAGGAGATAACTTCTTCTTTCCTTCTTTTAATGTTAACATGATCATATTAAGTCTAAGTCATGGTGTTCAATTCATGAAGAAGCCAAGTTATGCTAGGTTTAAGTCATGTTAAGCCATGTCGAGCCATGTCCATTTTTTATTCGGTAACGCCGAGCGATTTATGTTCCATTAGTCATTGTTAAGTATATTATGTTCAGTCATGTATCATTTGTCGGAAAAAATTGTTAAACGGCCAAAGGAATTGCTTGAGGTTGTGGACGGCGCACGGTGCACACGTCACGGTCATTCATGTTCCATCGAGTTTTATTTATGATCCTTCGAGCAATTTATGTGTATTTTTTCATGTCATGTTATGTTATGTCGTTTTAAGTTAAAGTTGCCAGAAGTAATCGCCGGACGGCCGATAAGGATCGGTCGTAGTTGCCATGCTCGCATGTAGCGGGCACAGCACGCCGGCAGTCAAGACAGGCCGTGCGAGTGGTGCGCGTATGCCAGTTGGGTGTCGCGCATAGCCTCTGCCCACAGCAAACCGTTAGTTGGTAGAGCCTAGCGCATGCCAGCACGCCCAACAGCATGCCA